TTCTAGCCAGCGTCGCCGTTACAACCCACCTGGCTGTGTCAACTTGCCTAGCTATTCTAACGCGTTTGAACCTGCCTAGCCGTTTGAATTGCCGTTTTAGTTCACCTGGCCGTTGTAACCTGCTTGGTCGTTCTAATCCGCCTGACCGTTTTACCCTGCATGGCGAGTCTTGGGGCAGTCTTGGGCAGTCCATATTGGATTCCGTCTGGGAGCCTCGTGGCCAGTTTTGGAGCGATACCAAGACGACGCCAACAACACCTCATGCCTGCGAGGATGACCCTAGTCAAATTGCAAGTTGGGGCAAGAGCGAGACCAAGACGATGTCGACAACATCTAGATGCTTGAGTCTGTCCCCAGCGAGATCGCCATGTTTGGTAAGATAAGAACGAAGAGGACGTCGACGTCATGCTTTTGTTGTGAGGACGTCCCTGGCAAAACCGCCATTTTAGGGCGAGAACGATACCGCACAAATCGCAGTGGTGGGTGAGAGGATGTCCCTAGCGAAAGCGCCATGTTGAGCAAGACCGGGACGAAGAGCAGGAGGAGGAGGATCTTCCTCCTCCTCCTCCTCCTCCTCCTCCTCCTCATCGTCCTCCTCCTCCTCCTCCTCCTCCTCCTCCTCCTCCTCCTCCTCCTCCCCCTCCGCGTCACCATCCTCCTCCGCCTCCTCCTCCACCTCCTCCTCCTTCTCGCTTGTCACTGGTCGCTCCTCCTTCTGATCCTCCTCCTCCGCATCCTCCTCCTCATCCTCCTCCTCCTCCTCCCTCCTCCTTTCGCATCCTCATCCTCCTTCTCGTCCTTCTCGTGTTCCTCCTCCTCCTTCTCTTCTTCCTCCTCCTCCTCAGTCCCCCTCCTACTATTTCTCCGCGCTCTCCTTCTCCTCCGCATCCTCCTCATCATGACCGGTGTGATCCCCCTCCTCCCGCTAGCTCGTCGCTCATTCGTTCCTCCTCCTCGCTCAGCATCATCAGCCATCACCATCATCATCGTCATCATCATCACCACCATCATCATCATCACCATCATCATCATCATCATCACCATCAGCAGCATCATCATGATCATCATCATCATTATCAGCATCATCATCATCGTCATCATCATCAGCATCGTCATCAACAGCATTATTGTTATCAACATCATCATCAGCATCATTCGTGCTCATCCTCCTCCTCACACACCCTCCTCATCATCCGCCTCGCTCCTCCTACTCCTTCTCCTCTTCCTCCTCCTCCTCCTCATCCTCCTCTTTATCCTCCTCCTCCCCCTCCCCCTCCTCCTCGTCCTCATTCTCCTCGTCCTCATCCTCCCGATCAACATCACCACAACCACCACCATCAGGAGCGTAATAACAATCCGCACCATCAGCATCATGGACAACATGACCAGCATCGTTATCAGCATCATCATCATCATCATCAGCAGCAACAGCATCATCACCATCAGCATCATCATCATCGTCACATCACCATGATGATTAGTATCATCAACATCATCGACATCAACATCACCATCAGCATCATCATACAAAGCATCATCAGCAGCAGCATCAACCTCAACATCATCATCATCATCCTCATCAGCAGCAGCATCATCATCATCAGCATCATCATCATCATCACCGTCATCTGCATCATCAACAACATCACCACCATCGACATCAACATCAGCATCGGCACCATCACCATCACCATCACCACCATCATCATCAACATCATCAACATCATCATCAATATCAGCATCAGCAGCAGCAGCATCATCATCATCATCACCATCATCATCATCCGTGTCAGCAGTCGCGTCAGCAACAGCATCAGCATCATCAGCATCAGCAGCAACAGCATCGTCATCGGCATCGTCATTGTCATCAGTATCATCAGCATCGTCATCATCATCAGCATCGTCATCATCACCCCCACCACCACCACCACCACCATCACCGTCACCACCACCATCCGCAGCAACAACAACGAGAGCATCAGCAACATCAACAACAACATCATCATCCTCATCATCATCAGCAGCAACATCATCACCATCAGCATCAGCTTCATCCACATCATCACCGTCACATCGTCATCCTCATCATCAGCATCATCAGTATCAGCTGCATCATCAGTGTCAGCTGCATCTTGGTCATCATCATCACAGTCATCATCATCAGCAACAACATCATCATCATCATCATCATCATCAACAGCATCAGCATCAGCATCATAATCATCATCAGCGCCAGCATCATCACCATCATTCTCCTCACTCCGCCTCCTCCTCCCCCTACTCCTTCTCCTGTTGCTCCTCCTCCTCCCCTTTTTCTTCCCCCTCCTCCCCCTCTTCCGCCTCTCCCCAAAGGCCTCAAACATTCCTCCTCCTCCTCCTCCTCCTACTCTCCCCCCTCCTCCTCCTCCTCCTCATCATCATCCTCCTCCTCCTCTTCTTCTTCCTCCTCCTCTTCCTCCTCGGTGGAGAAGGAGGAATGTTGGAGGCCTTTGGGGGTCTGTGTTTGGGCCTCTTGGAGGCCTCTTCGGGGCTTCTTGGTGGCGTTTGGGGCCTCTTGAGGGCTTCTTGGGGGTCTCTTAGGGACCTTTCGGGCCCTCGTGGGGACCTCTTGAAGCCGAGGGCCCGAAAAGTCCGTTCGGGACCCTGTGATGGCCGCTTCTTTGAACCGACGTGGGGGCCTCTGGGGCCGTCTTGGAGGCCTCTAAGGCCGCCTCTTGGGCCGTCTTTGGGGCATCTTGGGGGCATCTTGGGCCGTCGTCGGGCGATCAGAGGGGCCTCGTGGGAGGTCTTGGAGCGTTGGGAAGCCAAAACGGAGAGAACCCCACAGACCTTCAAAAACCTCCGGAAAATCGGTGAGTTGTGCCCGTGGGGGCCCTCTGGGGAGGGCTCTTGGAGGCATCTCGGCGTCTGGGAGGCCTCGTCCACCGTCGTGGAGGCCTCTGAGGCCGTCTTCGAGGCATCCTCGGCGAAGTTGGAAGTCTCGTGACCCCTCTGGAGCCGTCGTGGAGGCCACTTTGGACCGTCTTGGGCTACCTTGAGGTCTCTGGAGGTCCCTACGCAGAAAACTTGTGCCATTAGATCTGGGGCTCCACCTGCCGCCCCCCTTAAACTCCCCTTACTTTAAGTCCCCCCAGCTTACGGATCACACGCTACGCGCGCTTTCCATCATCTGCGGCCGCCGAGACCAACCCCATCATACTCCCACTTGTCATATATCCCGAACAACTGATCGAAAGTCTGGCAAGTTGTTGGCTCTTTTATAACGACCTCCCCGTGGGGTCTCTGCCCAGCCCGCAAGCAGCCCGGAAAGCTCTGGGCGACGCCCCTCCCGTCGGCTTTTTCGCTTAAGATGGCCTCGAAATGGCCTCCAAGACGGCCAAGATTGCCTCCAAAACGGAAAGATGCCCCTAAAAGAACCCAAGATGGCACCAATGTGTTCTCAAGATGTCCCAAGATGCACCCATGTCGGCCTATGACGGCCTCGAGATGACCCAAGACGGCCCAAGACGCTCCCAAGAGGCTCCAGGTCCCCAGTGTCCCCAGCGCTGTCCAACCGTGCTGTCCCAGTATCCCCACTGTCCCCACCACTGTCCCACAGTCCCCACTGTCCCCACTGTCGCCACCACTGTCCCCACTGTCCCCACTATCCTTCCTCACCACCTCCCCCACCACTGTCCCCACCACCACCGTCCCCACCACTGTCCCACTGTCCCCCCCAATGCCCCCACCACTGTCCCGCTGTCCCCTCGCCACTGTCAGTGTCCAACGTCCCCACTGTCCCCACCACTGTCCCACTGTTCCCACCACTGTCCCCACTGTCCCCACCAGTGCCCCCACCTCAGTCGCACTGTCCCCACTGTCCCCACCACTGTCCCCACCACGGTCCCATTCTCCCCGTCTCCAATCCCCACCACTGTCCCACTGTTCCCATCCCCACCACCGTCCCAACCACTGTCCCACCAGTCCCCCATCCGGAGTGGGGGAGGAGGGGGAATCGTTTGCTGGCGACGGGCAGTGGGGGGGATGGGAACCAATAGTGACCCCCCGATTTTCATGGTGAACCGGGGGGGGGGCCGGTTTGGAACCCCCAATGCCCCCTCTCGGTTTTCGTTGCGAGAAGGGGGACGGGTGTGAAACCCCAGTGACCCTCCCCCGCTTTCTGCCCGCAGCGGCAGAACACGCTCCTTCGAAAATTGTGAGAACGTTTCGTGCGCCAGCGCGATTCCTGGACGTCGTGGCGCGCAGCGCATGAGTAAAGTGCAAGCAAGTCCCAGGCGAGAGCGCGATTCCTAAGTAAAGTGTGGGGAATTACGGACGAGAAAAAGGTTATGAATATTCGCCAGGAAGTATCAACCGGGAGTCGTTGCTGCAGTCTGGGGCCGAGATCGCAGCTTGAGGCTCAGTACTTCCCCTGACAAGCAACAGGAAACGAAGCTCTGGAACGGGCACTTCAATACAGAAAAGGCAACGCGCGCCGAAAAGGGCGGACCTCTTGTGTATACATATGTGTGTGCAGACACGACTTTACAACTGATCGCTCTTCATTGTATGCGTGTCATCCAACATATACACCCCACACTCTCGAAACGTCTTCGATCGCGCCCTTTTCGGGGGTAGGTATTCCTGTGTCTGCCACACGAAGTTGGCGCGGCCCCCAAAAATGGGAGAGGGAAAAAGGGAAGGGAGAGGGGGGAGGAGGGGAGGAAACGATGGAGAAACGGGAGCCAAGGGGGACAGAGGAGGGGGAGGAAAGGGGGGACAGGAGGGCAGGATGACCGAGGACGAAGAGGATCCAGCAGGACGGGGAGGAGAGAGAAGAAACAACCATCAATTGCAAAACACTTGTTACGTCGCAATGCGGCCGAGGCAATCCGCACGCGCGCTTGGGCAAGCCGGGCGACGGCATCTCGAATTGCCCGGGCGCAGGAGGACAGCAACCAAGAGCAAGGGCACGAGGAGATCCCGCTCTGCCACCCGGTGGGGGCAGCCCCGCGGGCGGCCTGCGGCGACTCGGCGCCGCTCAGAAAGCTCAGGGCCGCCAGGGCGAGCGACAGCAGGGCCGCGAC